CTCTCTCTCTCTCTCTCTCTCTCTCTCTCTCTCTCTCTCTCTCTTTCTCTCTCTCTCTCTCTCTCTCTCTCTCTCTCTCTCTCTCAGACTCTCTCTCTCGACGTCTTCCTGTGGTAGGAGTTGCAGACACGCAGTACCACCACGTCTTTCACCATGCGTCATCTGTCTGAAGAACAGGAGTGTCAGTCCGGGACAGGTTTCCAAGATCCTCAGCACGATGCTCGTGATTGTGTGTGTGGCATCAACACTTCGAATTAAAAGTCCTGTGCGTTGTCGCTGTTGTTGTGAACCGCACGCATGTCTCTCCTTGTGTTCCCTGCTCTGTAGTACCATGTCGCCACATCTGCCATGTGGGTATCGGTGTCGAGCTTGAAAATGCAGAAATTCATAACTGTGTCCCGACTCCGGGTTGTGTTCACTATGTCATTCTTTATACTGGCCATTTGCAGCAACTGATCCGACGCCTTGCTTGACTTATTCGTCTGCTCGATTTCTGTGCGGATCACAAGTTCGGTAAACGCTAGTTGCTGCAAAGTCACGCCCAACTTCTCACTGTCTTTTCTTATTTGGAACCCTTTTGTGGGTGTCCTCTTGAAATGCGACGCTCCCCATGGCTCGTCGTCCTTCCTCCTCCACGTTTTGTCTTTGCTCATCTGACAACGCAGTTCGTTGCGCATGGTGTTATTGTGATCCGTCTGTGCGCCGCGTACGAGGGGGACACCTCTCTCTGCCCAGAACCAGTTTCTCAAGTGCCAAGACAACTCTCCGCGGACCGTTATCATCATTCGGTTGCACTTTATGAGCACATTCCGCAAACCCTTCTTCCCTACATGCTTCCCCCATCCTGCCCTTACATCTTCTCCCAAAAGGGTAGCAGCCAACTGCACCGCATTGAAGAAGTTGTCCTCTGAAGGGTAGAAAGTTGCATCCTTCGCTGTTGAGTGTACAAAAGTTTTTGCGACGGACCTCAACAGTCTGTCTTTTTGCTTTTTCCCAAATAATTTGCTTTCCTCTCCTGTGGCAACCCCCGATTCCTTGGCCACTTTCGTGTCGTCCTTGCACTGTCTCCCTCCTTATAATATGATCCGACCCGCAACAACGCGCGCGAATACCCACAAGTTTGAAGTTGTTATGCACCCCATTTGCACAATGGCTTCACAGGAGAAACAACTGCAACTGTGGTTAGTTATTTGCAGCGTATCTCATATTTTCTTATCCTACAACGCATATTGTTCTCCATCATTTTGCACTACGTCCACGCAACGATAACAGTTTGAGCGAAACAACATGTCGAGTGGCCATTTGTCTTCAGTTTTTTTTTTTTTTTTTTCCCGTTTCCTCAACCATTTTGTACTTACGTTCTTCGTTTGCCTTCTCCTTCAGGACTAACTGCTTGTCCGTGTTGTTTTCCTCGTTGCGTCCGTCACTTGTTCCTCCATGCGTTCTTCGAGACGTGTTTTGTGTATTGTCTTCGCTCCATCTTTCTTCCGTGTCGCTGCTTCGGGATCGGTCTTCCTCCTCTTCATCGTCGTCATCGCCATCCTCGTTGTTGCGGGACCCACTGTCGCTGTTCTCCTCTTCGTTGCTCGCATCTTTTTCGTACGATTCTCCTTCGTTGCATGTGCCCTTGCTACGTCCACCGCTGCCCTCGGTATTATCGTGCGGGTCGGACTGTTGTGTCTTACAGACTGCGTCTCGTGACACGTCTTGTTTTTCGGTGTCGCCTGCCTCGACACCATCGGAACCCCTCAGATCAATTGCCTCCTTCTCCTCTCCCACCCCCTCAATGATTCTCCTCCTCTTCGGATTTTCGATGTTGCGCCGAGTTTGATCTTCCACCCCGTTTGCAGATGACGTTTTCCTTGGCGCCCGTGGCGGGGATTGGTTGTGTCGTGTGTGATTCTTCACGGAGGCCGGCGAGGTGGGGGCCGACTCTCATTGTCGTTTGTTACCTTCAGACTGTTTCGCTTTCTGTGGCTTCGTGACCGCAACACGGTCCGCTCGGGACTTCATCAAAGGTGATGTCTTACTTTTTCCCTGGGGATGTTTCTTGATTTTCTTCTTCTCTTTCCTGACTGCAGTGTGTTTGCTCTGTCGTGCTGGTGGCTGTCTTTCCTGTACTTGCAATAAGGATGGGGCAAGATCTTCGTACCTGCGGCGAGGTGCCATTGCAAAGCTACATGACACACACAACATTCCAGTTATGAGCTTTTTACTCAAACGCTCCATCATATATAAACCACTTTACAATGCAATTCAGCCTGAACATTCTTGAAGGAGATAGATAGATAGATAGATAGATAGATAGATAGATAGATAGACAGATAGATAGATAGATAGATAGATAGATAGAGAGAGAGAGAGAGAGAGAGAGAGAGAGAGAGA